TTTACATCGGAAATGACTATACCCATCCATACAGGAACTCCCTCATCGATATCATCTTGGGAAGGACGCAAGAGAACAAATTGACATTTTTCGATATCTACAACTGGGTTGAGCTCTGTCTTTGGACGCTCATTGGTTCGTCCAACAAACAACGGCTCCTTATTCTCATTGCTCTTCAAGAGGAAGGCAATATCAATATCATCTGGATCATCCTTCTTAATTTTGTCTTGTGAGGGTCAGAAGTCAGCCTTGAGTGAAGTTTTCGCAAACCCAGACCCGCAATGCTCCTCGACTGTCTCGAGGAAAATTTTACAGTGTGAAAGAGCACTCTCCTTTGAGAAGTTAACCTCATCTTTCATTCCCAACCACTCGTGCCGCTTGTTCTCCAACCACCCAACAAACGTCTTCACACCTTCAATTCCCGATTCGAAATCCGAATTCCTATCTTTAGTAGACAGAGAAGCTGACGGCGGAACAGGTGATGGCACGAATGGTCATTCGGGTTCAGCATATGCTTTGTTTCCATCTCATTTAAAGCAATAGACTGGAGCAGACCATTCAGGAAAAGTGTAATACTCTTTCCACTGGAACACAAGATTGCCATCCTTCATGTAAAACCTAAATGCATGTGGATGAGTACGACCGGTCAGTCTCTTGACCCGGAAGGGATTAGCAACACCTCGCCAATCAACAATTTCATCCATGAATGTGCACGATGGACGCTCTTTTTGGGAACTGGCAACGAGCTTGAAGAGGTCGAGCATGGTGTGAGCATCGTGCATTTTCAGTTTGCGAGAGAAATGACTGAAAGTGACATCAACGTTCGTATGTGTGTGTCCCACTAACATAAAACCGAATTCGACTTCTTTGAAGAAGCTAAATTTCACCAAAGCTGCAGCAAGTGCCAAAACGTATCTGTTTTTGTTTTCTCTCCAACAGTTGTCTGCTTGTATCCTCAGTTTAGGAGGCAAGTCGCTTGTCGCATGGATGTTACGCAAAACTTTCCTAATGGATGACACCACAACATTACAATCGTGTGGATGGCAAGGGTACCATGTGTGAATATGGACCGATGGTGAACGACCGTGTGCAATAATAGTTGTTAAATTAGTTTTCAACATCGGAATGTTTGTGAATGCCTTCGATTTTATTTCTTTGCCAAAGTGTGGAATACTGGTCTTGCTTTGGTCCATGTCGTCAATAATGATGCATAAACTGTTGGAACCTGGTCTCTTCGACTCATCCTTCCACACCTCATACGTAGCACGATGTTGGAGCTGCAAGTCCAAGTGTTTCTCGCGTACCGAAATAAAGTTCTCACGCACACGTACGAACTTTGCAGAATTAATAGATTCAAGTTCTTTGTATTTGACACATTTCTCGCATTTCGCAAAGTTTTGATCAATGTCATGGAATTTCACATGCCAGAACTGCGTTCTCCACATGTTGTAGAAAACTTGGAGAGAAACACAAGGAGCACCCATGTTGTCGAATTGTGACTTTAACAACTTATAAATATCAACCTTGTTATAGCAATCAGGCAATCTCAACACCACTTTCGATTCCCCCTCTTTGATCTTCATGTCATTGGGCATGGAATCTCCGTTGTCTCGCATGAGGGAGCTTAGTTTCCCGTACATCATCGCATATATTGTTGATGTGCGTCTGTGTCCAGTGCTGCCATGCTCCGGCATAATGTAGCCTTTTGACAAAGTCATCATTTTTTTGAGAAATGTATTCCTACATACACCTAGTGTGAAACACCAAACACTAATGCACACCTTCCTTTTCCCCACAATAGGTTGAACAATTTCCTTCTCATCTTCTATAAAGGTGAACCTCTTCAACGTTTCAACCCACCATGCATCCTTGTTTTTTTGGTCCTTAGAGTAATATGCGCTCCGGACAACTTTGATGCCTTCCAAGGCCATTTGAGCACAACACTCTCGTTTACAACAAACTTATCCACGCACACTCGCAAGTGTTTTTTTGTGAATTTTCTATGAACTGATTGCAGAATCTTCTTTGGCCGTGACATTCTGATACGAAAAGTATAAGGACGCTTCTCTGAGGACAGACGTTTCGGGAAAATGTCATCGAAATCGGAGATGACATCACAATTCTCATCGTCATTTCGACAACAGTGGTCAGTGTCCCGGTTAGCGTACGTTTGCGGATAACCGATTTTATCTGGAGAGCTATCAGCGCTAGACGACACCGAAGCACTTGAATCTGAACCATCTTCATCACTCTCACTAAACAGAAGACCTGTGTACTCAAAATCTCGAAGTGAACTCCTCGACACCCACACAACACGGTCTACATCGGATGTGTTGTTGTCAGCAGAGGAGGCCTTACCCTCCTAACCTTCCGCACTATCTGCATCAGAGGTTTGAACCGGGCAGCGCAGGACCGGATACGCACTTTCACATGTAGTGTCTGCATACGCAATAATCTGTGACCTCTTATGAGCAGGAGATTTCAGAGTATTATTGACACGTTCGTGACCACTTTGAACATCTTGTGAACACATTGGCAGGTCCGGTGGAGGAAAATCCTCATTGAGCATTGTATTAGATACCACACAAGCCATGCTTTCCAAGGTTGTGCTGCAAGCCTGCCGTGGCAAAGCATGCACACCACAAACCATGTACGAAACGTGTCTGCGACAACAAAACAGTGGACCACTGTCAAAGGCACAAGACATGCAACAGAGTGTGACGGAAATCAGAGATTAATGAAAGGGAACATGCAACTAGCGCTACATAAACCACAACGAGAAACACAGCCCTACACGGGAAGGAGGGGAACATGAAACATTTGAACGGGGATAGCACACCACATTGGAATGAGAGCATCAAGATGAAACATTTACAAGGGCACAAAAACCGGGTTCGAAGCATAAAGAATTGGTGACGGGTGATGACTCATTAGTCCAGTCATCGGGGCAATCAGTGCCAAAGGCGCAAGACACGCAAAAGAGTTTGGCGAAGTCAGAGATCGAACGAGAGCGGGAAACGTAGCACATGTCACGTTGGGCACCAGTATCGGAAAGACAGAGATCATGACGCGCAAAAAACAGCGGGTACCAGCAGCGAAAAGGCGGAGATCCTGACGCGCAAAACACAGCCTTACATGAGAGCATTGAGAGGAAACATTCAGAACGGCACAGGTTTGTAGAACACAGAACTGATGTTATTCGAGGAACTTTAACGACGACATACGAGGAGTTCCAAAAACCCAGAGTGAGCAGAAAAACGACCGTGGCAACACGACCATCTCGTCCAACATGGAAGAGACCCCGCTCTTGATTTCCGGGGACTAAACTTTGCAGATTCAAAGCAAAATTTGTGCAGAGTTCGAACACGATGTCGGTCGAGGAACTCTAGCAACGGCACACGACGGGCTCCTAGACCCCCAGACTGAGCAGGCAAACGACCGTGGCAACGCGACCTTCGTGTCTAACACGAAAGGGACTTCATTTCATATTATCACAATCTTCCAATTTACAATCAGTGTAGTAAAAGACAAAAGACAGTCATCCGGGCACTATGTTCTGCGGGTGCAACTCGCACTGGACTGTTTGCCACGCATGCAAGTCGGAGCACTTCTCTCCAATGGGAGTGACTGTGGCAGATCGCCCACGAGCAGGAGTGCGCCCCAAGGTGGTGGTCCGACCCGACCCGTGCCGACGGGACGACGTCGACACGGAAGACAAGGGTTGTCCGGAAGAGTGGCTACCGCAGCGACCTCCGCCGCGTTGGCTCTCGAACGGGAGTGACTGTGGCAGATCACCCACGAGCAGGAGTGCGCCCCAAGGTGGTGGTCCGACCCGATGCGTGCCGACGGGACGACGTCGACACGGAAGACAAGGGCTATCCGGGAGAGTGGCTATTGCAGCGACTGCCGTCGCTTTGAACAAGACGGCAATAGTTTTTTGCTGCGGTCCCATCATGTTGAACACGGACGTTGTGCTTTGAGTCGTGTCCCACACGACTTGGGGATTGCCTGATCGTGACACGGAAATGAAGAAGACGGTTATGCTTGGTGGTTGTTTCTGTCGTGGAACGAGGTACCTGTATCGACCGTGGCAGTGTTGAACAAGTAGACACTCGTTTCTTCCACAGTTGCGTCAGTTGTATCTTCCGCGGTCTCGTCGTGTCGAACAGGACAGTAAACAGTCTGCAGACAACACAGCTCGCGCCGAACACGACACACGTAGTGCCGTGTGCCGACAACAGTTAGCCCGCAGCGTCCGTTGTCGTGTCGAACACGAAGTCGTTTTTTTCTTTCCTGGAACTCGGGAGCTGCAACGCCGTTGTCGTGGCGAACACAACGACGGTGCTGTCTTCCGCTGTTCCGCCGTGTCGGACATGTCGGTTCCGTCTTGTCGAACACGGACGCTGTGCCCTGTTCGACCCCACTTGGGAACCGCGTCATCGACGATGGTTGTTTCTTCCCTGAACCTGCAGCGTACGTTGCATTGTTGAACACGATGCTGGTCGTGCTCAATACGATGACGGTCGTGTTGGGGAGAGGTGGGCGGGCTCGGGCAGTCGCGGAAGCGGCACTAACCTGGAGAGCGGCCGAGTTGTCGTGTTAACGCTAGTGGACTGCAGCGCTGATTCTCCCAGCACGTGAACAGCGGAGCGCTGACAAAAGGTCGCGACTACTCATGTGCACGAAACACTCTGGTGTGGCAGAAGGATGTACTCTCGCGCGAAACGTCATCCCCACGCCTCCGCTTTGCCCTTGGCCCGTTCCAAGGGGAAAAAACGATCATGGTCGTCGGCCGCCCGACGGTTCGACGACCAAGATTCACCGGGGGGAAAATAGGGCGGTGCCCGCACCACCGGATCCCCGCTTGCAGCCAGCTGATCATCCCGACCGTCCACATTCCTGGATCCGACGGCCACCACGTGTGTGGGGAGGGTCCACCCGAAAACCTATATATATGGAGGGGCCCCACCATTGCCCATTTTTTGTTTCAGGTGGACAACGCAGCAATAATGCAGCGCAACGGAGGTTCGTTGACGCAGCAACAGTGCAGCGCAGCGGACGCTCGTGCACAGCAGACTACGTGCACGACGTGGCGACGGAGCGCAACGAGGATTCGTTGACGGAGCGGAGGTTCGTGCATAGCAGACCAACTGCGCGACGCGACGATGGACCACAGAGAAGGTGCCGACGGTCGCAGGTCACGACGACGGAGGCGATCAGATGACCCCAGGACGTGACGCGCAGCCACATCGGAGCACCTCGAGTCCGCAGGATCAGACGGTGAGGACACAACCAGCAAGCTAAGATGCAACCACATAACGCCACGTGGCACTTTCGATTGTCAGTGGTCGTGCCGAACACGACGACTGGAGGAGCACTGTCGAGTCGAACACGACAACGGACCGGAGCAGGAGTCGTCTCGAACACGGCGATCGGGCCGGTCGTGGAATTGAACTCGACGACCGAGCGAATTGTCGTGCCGAATACCGGCCGCAGTGCCGTGTCGCCGAGCCGGACAGCTTCGTCGTGCCGAACACGATCGTCGAGTCGAACATGATCGTCGAGTCGAACGGACACCATCGTGTCCGACTCAACGATCATGTTCGACACGACGAACGTGTTCGGCATGACGGTCGTCCAAAGCACGATGGAGTCAATCGCCGAGTCGCACATGATCGTCGTGTCGAACACGATCGTCGACTTGAACACGGTCGTCGAGTCCAACACGATCGTAGAGTCGAACACGATCATCGTGTCCTGCACGATCGTCGAGTCCGACACGACCGTCGAGTTGAACATGATCGTCGAGTCGAACACGATGCGACACGATCGTCGAGTCGAACATGATTGTCTGATGTGATCGTCAGGGCGAATACGATCGTCGAGTCCGACACTCGTCGAGTCGAACACGATGCGACGATCGTCGAGTGAAACTTGACCGTCGAGCCCGACACGATCGTCGAGTCAAACACGATTGCTTAGTGCGATCGTCGAGTCGAACACGATCGTCGAGTCGAACACGGTCGTCAAGTCCGACACGGTCGTCGAGTCGAACACGATCGTCGAGTCCGACACGATCGTCGAGTCGAACACGATCGTCGAGTCGAACACGAATGTCCGACTCGATTGTCGAGTCAAACACGATCGTCGAGTCGAACACGAATGTCCGACTCGATCGTCGAGTTCAATACGATCGTCGGGTCGAACACGATTGTTCGATGTGTAGATCGTCGAGTCGAACACGATTGCGTCGATCGTCGAATTCGACACGAACCACTTGGACGCAGATGGATGCACTCAACGAAGTCGTCAGTCCTCATGTTCAACACGACGGTTGTGTCCAGCACAACGATCATCGAGTCCGACACGATCGTCGAGTTGAACACGATTGTCCGATGCGTCGATCGTGTTCGACACGACGATCGTGTTCGACTCGATGATTGTGTCGGACTCGACGATCGTGTTCGACTCAAAGATCGTGTTCGACTCGACGATCGTCGTGCTGGACACGACCGTCGTGTTGAACACGAGGACCGACGATTTCGTTGAGTGCATCCGTCTGCGTCCAAGTGATTCTTTTTCTTCATCTGCGGTGCCCTCGGCTGTTTGTATCATTCGCGGGGAAGCATCGATTGTGTGCGTGGATTGTGTGCATGGATTGTGTGCATGGATTGTGTGCAGTGCAATGTCGTGCGACCTTGATTGCTTGCATTGTTGGGGCGAGGACAATTGCTATATACTGTTGTTGATCGTTGCACTTATGCCATGCAGGGCGCTTCACTATCGCTATGGAGATCTCTCACTGGATGACCCCGACAGTTTTGCGTGCACGAAAGGCGCACCCTTTCCCACCTTGCGCGCTACACGTCCGACGATGTCTGGGCCGCACAACCGTCGACGGTGCTAGTATTACAGACTTCGATTTCGATCCTTGGATGACAGTCATTCCGTTTATCGACAAACGTTTGAACTCCTATGAAGAGTGTAAGAGAGAGAACATGATGGCGACATGCCCGTGGGCGGGCGATTATGAGTTCGCCAATATGTTGGAATTTGGAAAACGTATTGTTGTGTCGTCCGATGTGTTGGGTCCCGTGCATTTGCGTCATTTGTGTAAAAAGTTGAAATTTAACCACCTTTTCGGTGTTCTAGATTGCGAATACTTGACAACCTCGCCGCGCACATGGTGTCGTATTATGAAGCAGGAGGTACTCGACTGTGCGCGACATTCACAATTCCTCGATTAGTATCCATTGCGATCTCCGGGTTTGTCGCGTTCAGCAGTGTCATATTGTTGTGTGAGATTGCGTATGGGATGCTTCATCTTCTGTAAGGTCCTCTGCATTGCCTGTTCGGATAGGGCAAGGAACTTGACAGACGTTGTCGTGTATGTGTCCAGAAACGATTTGTCTATGTCCGGAAGGGATATAAGTTTAGTTCAAAGAGAAGTCGATAGGAAACTGGATATCTTGGTCGGTGGCAAGGTGGAGGACGTCGGCGCTTTGCGCTTGGCGTGAGGTCGAGATAAAAGTGGTTTCTATTCGGGATGCTATAAGCAGTTCTCTCGTCGGAAACTCCGGGTTCGTACGCATGACATACATTTCTGTGTTTGCTGAGAACTCTCTCGTCGATGAGCCGCAGCGACTGACCTTTGGATCGACACTTGGCATATTTGATGGCCGCAACAGCGGGAGAGTTCGCCATCGTCGATAGATAACCATCGTCGATAGATAGCCTCCGCTGGATTTTTTCCTTCGTGTGATGCTTTCACAAGTTGTCGACACTATCGTCGTCGCTAGGTATTCTTCAACGTTCCCCTGGGTGCTTTCGCGATTTGTCGGTTCTGTCGTCGTCGTGGCTGGCGTTGTCCACACTAGGTGTTCTTCGGTTCTTCTGTTTGTCCGGCGCTTCCGGCGCCGTTTATTCGGTTCTTCTGTTTGTTCGGCGCTTCCGGTGCCAGCGCTTGCGCCGCTTGGGGAGCGCCGTTTTTCAATGGGATGAGACCGCTGTTGGGAGTTTTTTTTTTTTTTTGTGCGTTCAACAATGACACATCGCTGCCTTTCCATTTATTCAGATTGCATCTTCACGGACTTCACATTGAGCGAAGAGTACGCAGTGTCTGATTGTTGTTCTCATGTTGTGTTTTCTTACGAAAAATATGCAGTGTCTGATTGTTGTTCTCATGTTGTGTTTCCTCGCAAAAAATACGCAGTGTCTGATTGTTGTTCTCATTGTGTGTTTTCTTCTCCTGCTCATGTTTTTCGATATCCTAAAATCCGGAAATGAAGACAGATGAACGAAGACACATAAACCCCCGGCCTGTGAGAACTGGGGAGCTCCACTTGCGACCGTCGAGACGGACACAACCACGAGTTGAAGGGGCAGTGTCGTGTTCACGCGATATTGGTCTGCATTCGTCGTCGTGTCCGACTCGATCGTGCGAGTTGTTCTTCCATCACATCTCTCGTCTTCTGTTGTCGTGTTCGATTAGATCGTGCACGGAAGAGTGTGTGCGTCCTTACCCGGCCTCAGGCCCTGCGCTTACCGCCGTCGAATCGGATACGACCATGAGTTGAAGGGACAGTGTCGTGGTCGCGCAATGTTGCCCCGCTTTCATGCTCATGTCCGACGAGAACGTGCAGGTCGTTCGCCCACGACATCTGTCGTCCACTGTTTGTCGTGTTCGACATGATAGTCGCCGGACAGTACGTGCATATTTCGGTGACCTCATGACGTCCACTTCCTACCGTCGAGTCGGACACGACGACGAGTTGAAGGGACACTGTGGCCGTCACGCTGTATTGCCCCGCTATTGTCCTCGTGTCTGACTCGACCGTGCAGGTTGTTCGCCCAGCACATATCTAGTGCTCTGTTTGTTGAGTTCGACACGCTGTTCAGCACACACGTCTTTGCCCGCCCTCGTGACGTGCACTCAGGACCTGCGCTTACCAACGTCGTCTGACTCGACCGTGTAGGTTGTTCGCCCAGCACATATCCAGTGCTCTGTTTGTTGAGTTTGACACGCTGTTTAACACACACGTCTTTGCCCGCCCTCGTGACGTGCACTCAGGACCTGCGCTTACCAACGTCAAGTCGGACACGACCACGAGTTGAAGGGACAGTGTCGTGGTCACTCGACATTGCCCCGCTTTCATGCTCGTGTACGGCTCGACAGTGCACGCTCTGTTTGTCGAGTTCGACACGATGGTCGTCCAGTGTCCCGCTCCTGTTGTTGGCCCAACACATCTCCAGTGCTTTGTTTGTCGAGTTCGACACGCTGTTCAACACACACGTCTTTGCCCGCCCTCATGACGTGTACTCAAGACCTGCGCTTACCAACGTCGAGTCGGACACGACCACGAGTTGAAGGGACAGTGTCGTGGTCACTCGACATTGCCCCGCTTTCATGCTCGTGTACGACTCGACAGTGAGCGCTCTGTTTGTCGAGTTCGACACGATGGTCGTCCAGTGTCCCGCTGCTGTTGTTGCATGTTCTTGTCTAATGTTGTTTTCGATTTCTATGGTGTTTGCGCATCTGCAAGGCAATGACTGCGTTCGCACTTGTGCGTTTTCTTTCAGCTGCGACTATCCTCTCAAGATGGATCGGGAGGGGAAGCCAAGCAAACGACGTGCTAGTAGAAGTTCCGGGAGCATGGAGGAATCTCCGAAAAAAACAAAGGGGACACCAACCGATGGCATGGGGACTGAGGAGACACCAAGGTCTAAGGGCCAACGAACCCCGGTGCTGCGGGGTGCACCTTCTATGGGCACTCCTTCCACTCGTGTTCGCGGTTCTGGACCGGATATGGCTATGTTGATGAGTGGCAGACCTGCGGGTCAAGAAGAGGTGACTGGTGGTCGGCAGGGGAAATCTGCGGTAGACGTTGTGCCCAGGCGTAAAAGGTCTGGTGAAATGTCTGTAGCAGGTGTGGGAGACAAGGTGTCTGTCATCAACCACAAAAACAAGTTCTGGATGTTGGACTGGGTGGGTGAAATTGGGGAACCCTCCAGTGGACTGGTTCTGTACGTGGTGATCAAAGATAACATTGTACCGATTGGCGGTGTGGTGAAGTGGAGTGGACGAGGTACACTATTGGCCATGTTGGAGTTGACGATGGTCCTTAACGCTAAAGGTCAGCGGATGACAAATGTCAAACGCGTTGCTCTTCGCTAGGCCAAACACGCTGGATACGGCAAGACGCTTTTTGATATTTTCAATCCGCCAGGGATGAGGAAATTGACGTTGCCAGATTTTCCATCGGTTTTCGCATTCTTCGATAGTAATGTGGTCGCAGGGCAGGAGCCGGTGGCGCATGCTGAAGACCGCATATCTAAGCCGAAAAGTGTGCTTTCGTCATCCTTGGAGGCGGCTCCCTCGTCGAGACCTCTCACTATAGGTGTTCACCCTCCACGGTCCCTTCGGACTCTAATTGCTGCAATGCGAGTTCCGAAATCTGGGCAGATTGGGGAGAAAGGTCCGTGTCGCGGCCAAATCATGTGGTCAGCCCCTGTGAAGTCCAGAACAACATCAACCAAGGAACCCTTTTCCGTGGTCCGCCCAATGCGTTGTGACTTTGCCGTGCCAAGCCGTGCTGAGGGGGGGCCGCAATATTTTGGAGATGACGACGAGGAGAACAACGAGGAAGATTCAGAGCGCGATGGAGAACGCGAAGAATATGAGGAGGGTGGCGATGAGAAAGGAAAGCGTGAGGAAGAACAGGAAGGAGAGAGTGGATAGACTATTAGCGAGAGGGGTGGCGAAGTAGAGGGTGGTCTGGGGATGGAATATGAGGGTGAAGGGCAAGAAGAGGAAACGACCAGCGGGGAGGACATGAAGATGTGCATCAGGGTCGCGAACGAGAGCAACAACTCCCGCTAGGACATGGACATTGGGGGCGCGGGGGAATGAATCACGAAATGATGGTCGTAACGCATGTCGATGCAGCACGGCTAGCTGAGAAGAAGAGGAAGATCAGGCAAGAGAGGAGAAGTGCTTTGGACAGTAAGAGAACCAAGCAGGAGGGGGGTCACAAACGCAAGTTGAAACTGCTGCTAATGGATGAGGCAGTCCAGCGTACGCGGGAGGCTGAGGAGGCCACGAAGAAAAAACGGCAGCCAAGGAAAAACGCAGCGAAGGGAGGTGTGATGGAAAAAACTTCAATTTTCCCAGCGGACCACCCGCAGTCAGATGAAGACGTTGTGGGCAAGACAGTCACAAGTCCGCCAAGTTTGCAGATTCTGCCGCCGGGAAACTCTTCTGGTCATCTGGGCAAAGGCTTCTTCCTTGAGTTCGACGAGAATGGTAACCAGAGGCCGAACATGCAGTTCATTTCTGTCAAGTTTGACAGGATTCTGGATATCCCTGACGAGGAGTTCACATATAATCAACGCTTTCTCGGCTAGCAGCATGTTGATGACATTTACGACACAATGGTTGAATCGGGTGAGGCAGCTATCAGAGAGAGAACGACCGGAGCAGTCAGGGTGAATGTATATACGTTATATGAGAAGTCTATCCTTTTGTTGGTTGGGCTACATGATACAATGCATACTAACGCTTCCAGAACAAATGTGAGAGCAAGAAGAGTGACACCCAATGAATTCGATCTCCAATCCGTGCGCAAATACTACTGGTACCCTCTCAGCGGTCAACATAATGTTGCAGCGGCAAGAAAATGTTTTCAAGAGCGCCTTGACATCGCCTGTGAGCTCCGTTTGGATTACTAGACTGCAAGGCCTGTTTACTATCCGGATAAGAGCATAGATAATTACGGCGCCTTGAGCACTTTCCAGAATGCGAAGGATGAATGAAATACTCCTCCACACCAGCTTGTTGTCATTCAAGACATACGAAAGTTGTGGTTGTCATCCAGTCGTCCTGATGCTAAAGACAGATCTGCTGCAGACGCCAAAAATGCGGAGTACAGAAAGTTTGCGGCGAAGGCTCCACACTTGACCGGGATTGATCATTTGGTTACTATGTCGCTTAAGCAATGGGCCAAGGAGTGGTCCGACTTCCTCGGGCCTTACATGATATTAGCAAAGGCGACAGAAGAAGTCTTCGACAAGGTGCAACAAGTGTATGCTGCTTGGGAAAGTGAACAATTGTCGGGGAGAGATGCTGTGAAGCCTGCCACCAAAAGGTGAATCGGGGAAAGCGCCGAGACCTGGACCCGAATTCGAGTTGAAAAATGGAGTCAGAGTTCCAGTACACTAGATTCAGGGTACTAAAGGACCTGGTTACCTCGTGGATGTGCACAATCCGGATGTCAGAGCATGGAAGGCTATGTTTACGTTGGGGAGGCGTGAGCGGCTTCAACTGTTGCGAGACATTCTCGTAGGCAATGTCATATTGCCTCCAAAGCTAAGTAAAGCTGCTCAAAGTGTCGGGAAACATTCAATGGAGATATACGTGGAAATGGTGAAGCAGGAAACAACCATGTTGAGAATGTTTCACTACTTTGTCTTCATTTCTGACCCTCTCAAGAAGCCGTCAGAGTGGAAGGAACCATTCTTCGACAACCTTTATGATGTGTTCGATAACTATCGTGATCAAAGACTGATATCCGAGAGGTGGATCAACCAACGATAGAAGTTCAAAGACATGAGCTGGGTGCGGTCATTTCCGGCTACACTTGGAGGAGAGGACGAGAAAGGAGAAGAGGGCTTCAGGAAAACAAAATCGCTTGCAAAAAAATGTCCCGAGGAGTTTATTCAATTTGTCAACAAGTTGTTGCGCAGATCCGAAACCGGGGGTTCGCAAACATTCGTATGTCGGGACAAACGAAATATATATATTTCTAGAAACAGAACGTGAAGTCTGTCTTCGTACCTTTCCAATGTGAACCGAGCGATGTTTCAGACGAGATGGATTGCAAGGAGATGTATAGAGTCGTCAGACATCAGACGTGTCACACAGCCGTCCTAGATTTGTGCAGCCCAACCTAGATGGGTATGTGGACTGAACAAGTGTTTGATGGGCTCTGGAAGTTTATGGGAAAACTTAACGGCGAGTATTGGACATTGTTGTGCTTCGTTCTACGTTCTTGTGAGTTCACATTCTTCAGGCGAATTGTGAGATGAGACATTCACTTGGATCTTCTGAAATGGACTCGTCAACAACAAACAAAGGGGAAATTTACATATAAGGTTGCAAACTTGCCTTTGGAGGATGCAGACAGAATGATGATCATCATGTACTCTAACGACGGGGATTATCATCGCAACATTATTCCTTTGTTTGAAGATATTCAAGTTGCAGGTCCATCATCTAGCGAGCAGGTGGCTGACATATCGGCACTTGTGCGGAGAGAGAGAAAACCGAAGATGTTGACTGATATCATGGAGAAGAACTTTCCGCCAACAAAGTGGAAAATGACAAGTATGGAACCAAATGAGAAAGTTGTCTATGATGGTATGGAAAGGGCGCCGAATGCGATAGTGGAGACATTGGAGCATTTTTGTCCTGCGGATGAGGTTGTCGTTTTCCTGGGAAAAAAGGTCATGCGGCGTTGGTTTGGGATTTGTTAAAGAGTCACCGTCATTGCATTGTACTGGAAGGGAAGGGTATGACGTTCGAGTTCCTCACCCAGTTCATCAACAAGATGGTCGGAACTCGAGATTACTTCGCCAAATTTATTAAGCCGCTTCCTCGACATAATGAAGGGTGTGATCTCGTCCACAAAGTTGGTCAAAACATTGTCAATATTTGAGATTTTCTTTTCGAAACAAAGCCGCAAAAGAGAGGGGAACGTACTTATGTCTTCAGAAGAAGAAAAGTGGAGACGCTTTTGAGGGGTTATCATAAAGCACCATCGGAGAAGGAAGTTGCATTTCTTGACCGTTTGGAGATAATGTACTTCGACCAACAAATCGGGGTGTTTACTATCGCAAGTTATGCAACTTGTTTTGAGAATGGTGAGGACTTTAATGTCGAGGACTCGGAAGAAGAAAGTGTTGATGACACTTTGCAAGCGGCTTTGACAGATGAGAGGCAAATAACTTGTAGCTCGGCTTCGCAGAAGATGGGTGTTCCAGGCACATCGTTCGGTTCTGGAGGAGCTTTAAGTATGGCGGTTTCAACGGATCCGTTGATGACTCGTCCGTTGACTTCTTCTATTGTTACACCTACTCAGATGGCGGGCAATACGATGACGGTATCATCCAGAGGCATTCTGGATCTGAAGGTTCAAGCAATGCTCTCCCCGGAGTTATTGGCAAGTCTGTCAGTATTTGCAAACAACCCAAGTACTGTTTTGGAATTCCTACGCTCTCGAACTCCACAACAACCTCCATCTGATGAGCCTTTGGAGCACCAGATTGGAGACAGAATCCCTGCGGACATTGCGCAGCTTCCGGGACCTATTGTATGTCGACACAATCATACGGTAATGGATGATGACACATGGGGTCATCACATTATATGGCACCCCCAACACTTCCAACCTGCATTGGCGAGAGGAAGTGGGTTATAGTTATAAAAGAAGAAAGGGAGTGGCAATTTTGCCTTCACAGGCGTATGTCAGAATCAAACTTTCTCAAACACGCCTATAATCAGATTGGCAAGCGACTCCTGCGACTTAATCCGGAGGTTTCTCAATCAAGACTAGATGTAAGAAGAGAAGAAATTTTCCAAGAGTTCTAAACATCGCAGTGACTCGAGTATCTGGAAGAGTTCTATGATAGAGGAACCAGCCCGGCTTATGGATATAATTGGCATGTCGAAGAAGATCTTGAGCACAGAGAAGGGGAGAGGAAAGGAGCAAGCGGCGGCGGTGCGCATGGCAAGGGATCCGAATCAAGCGGAGGTGCGCATGGCAAAGGATTGAGATCGAGGAGCGGTGCAAGTGGCAAGGGTCCGGGACCAAGGGACGGTGCAAGCGGCAAGGACGTAAGTCGTGGGGAACTGCAAAAAAACAAAAGGTCTCAGGGGCGTCAAGCAACAGAGGGCAAGGGATCAGGATCAAGCGGCGGTGGGCATGGCAAGGGATCGGGATTGAGCGTGGGTGCAAGTGCGGAGGGTTCGGCAACAAGCGTCGGTGCAAGCGGCAAGGGCATAAGTCGTGGTGAACTACGAAAACCCGAAATGTCTCACGGGCCTAAAGAAACAGAGCGCAAGGGATCAGGATCAAGCGGCGGTGGTGCGCATGGGAAGAGGTCGGTATCGGACGGCGGTGCAAGTGGCAAGGCTTCGGGACCAAGCGAAGGGTCCCACGGTCGAGTCGAACACGACAGTGGGCCAGCATTGGAGCGTTCTCGGCTTGACCAAGCGAAGAAACTCACGGTCGAGTTGAACCCGAAAGTGGGATCGTCCCACGGTCGAGTCAAACATGACAGTGGCCCAACATTGAAGCGCTCCCGGCTTGACCAAGCGAAGAAACTCACGGTCGAGTCGAACCCGATAGTGGGATCGGGATTGATCGACGTTGCAACTGGCAAGGCTTCAGGACCAAGAGGCGGTAGTTCAACTGTTGGCGGTATTTCACCTATCAAAGGGTCACACAGTCGAGTAAAACATGGCAGTCGTCCAACATTGCAGCGCTCCCGGCTTGACCAAGCGAAGAAACTCACGGTCGAGTCCAACCCGACAGCGGGATCGGGATCGATCGCCGGTGCAAGTGGCAAGACTTCGGGACCAAGCGACGGTGGTTCAACTGCCGGCAGTGTTTCACCTGTCAAAGGGTCACACGGTCGAGTCGAACACGACAATGGTCCACTATTGGAGCGCTCCCAGCTTGACCAAGCGGAGAAACTCGTGGTCGAGTCCAACCCGACACTGGAATGGGGATCGATCGCTGGTGCAAGTGCCAAGGCTTGGGGACGAAAAGGTGGTGTAAGTGGCAAGGACATAAGTCCAGCTGACCAAGTTTGGGGGACCACGATGTTAGTGGGCGACAGTGTCACTATGAAAGTGGATATTACTGGTACACTCACGGAATTACAGATGTCGTCGTCGACGATGCCAGCCGAAGTAAATACTTTGTCGGAGGAAGTTGAAGAACTCTCTCCGGATACAAAAATTGGAAATGCGACTGCAGGTGTAAGCGACACTTTTGAAGGCGTATAAGAGGAAGAAACTCTTCATGTACAGAGCATCGAAGAAGATGAAGGACATCTAGTACTAAGTACACCGGAGCAATGTACACTTGTACAACCTCAACAAACGCTTGAACAACCTCAAACACCACAGTCTGCTAACCTTGTGATAGCTATCGAGGAATCTCCTATTACGCTATTGCATATGAAAGGTGTAACAGAAGCTCGTGTTGAAGAGAAACTGAGAGCTAGCCATCGAGGTGAGCACTTTCTTATCTTAGGAGGAATATCTAATACTATATGCGGATTAATGGGTACATCACATGCACTCATCTCCCTTATGTGTCATAGTGTTAATCCCTCATATGTATTGTTTTTTTACCTGGCTTTGCAACTGTACGTTTACTGAAGAGAAAAACTGCAATATCATGTATTTTGTATAAACTGCAATTATCATATATTTTGTATTGGTATTCATGTGTCAGTTTCAATAATGGAAAATCGAACTTGAACTCATAATGTTTTATCTTGTCAGTCATGCAGGGCGACGAAAAGAACTGTGGAAAACGACACATGAACACTTGCAAAGGAAGAGAGATAAAAATATCATTCGTCGTGGCTTGCAAGCTTTATCAACTTTGCCGTTGTTGCCCAAAAATGAGAGAATAAGTCGTACACCCATGATATTTCCATCTACGAAGCCAACTGCTCTAAGGTTGTTTGAAGCTGTTGGAATAAGCCTCACAGAAGGGAAGAAATTGCATCGCGCAGGTTGCAGTTTATCTGTTATGGATAGCAACACTGATAGCGAGACAGATAGACAATCAGCAACATGAGCTCATGTCTATGTCGTATATCAGTTAACGAAAAGTCTCTTTTTGTATGAAGTCTTAGTCGTTCTATTGTTGTTTATATGTGTGTTTGTATGCAGTGCATGACCCTTCGTTCCGGATTCCTTTAGCAACAGTACACCTTACTGTAGAAGAAAAGGAGTATCTTGAAATGATTACTGGCAACACTGAAGACAATGAAGAATACGACATTGTTGATTACAAGGGGAGGTGGAAGGTGAAAAATAAAGACATCATGGTCGTCGTCGAGGATGGGGAATGATTAAATGATGAAGTCGTCAATTTATACCTGCTAGTCGTTCAGATCACCAATGACTACATCAAGGTGGATTTGACATGTGCAGAAGTGGCAAGAGATGAAAGTTATTGTAGCATTCCGTCTGTGCATATTCTAAATTCTTTTTTCTTTCATAGATTGTCAAAGGCTCAGTCAATTGAAATCGCATACTTCGAAGACATGAGATGGGTGAAGGATATAAATCTTTTCGATTTTGACTTAGTAATTATCCCTCTCAATTTCGGAAATCATTGGGTCTTAACTTATGTCAGTATAGATCGTTTGAGTGTAAATTCCGCCTCGTAGACTCTCTCCATCGTGTTGACTATGGTCCAATCCTTGAACTTTTGACAGGTTTTTTCAGACAGGAGTTTCATCGACAAAATCTTCATGAAAAATATCATGTGGAGGAGCCTACATCGTACTTTGATACATCAGTAGATGGGATTTCTGCTCAAGAGGATCCTTATAGTTGTGGTTATTTTATGTTAGGTTTTGCATCTTTGCTTGCAAAATGTCACTTCCCTTCATTCGCTTTCTCACAAGATAGTATTCCTGATATGAGACTCAGAATAGCACTTGACATTTTGTGCATGGTTATGTAGGAAAATCAATGAAAAATTCAGATTCTAGGTTCGGAAAAATGAGGTTGACATGTTTACTGAGTGTGAAAATTCCAGGTGAAAATTTGTATTGTAGGCAGTTTTGAAAATATGTTGTATAATGACATTTCTGACAACTTTTCATCAGTTATTGATGAGGTTGACATGTTTTACTAAGTGAAATGTTTACTGAGTGGATTGACATTTGGACAATGCTTGTGTATGTGTGAACATTCGAGGTGAAAATTTGTGTTTTTTTCTGAAAATATGTTGTGTAATGACATTTCGTTCAACAACTTTCATGTATAACCATTGTTTTCTCGTTGTTTTATTTATTTTTCACTCAGTTCTTTGTGTCATTTTACAATTAAAATAAAAAGTGAACATGAAAACAATTTCACTTTTAATGAAAACACCGTTACCGCTAGTACACGGTCCCAGCCTTGCAGAAAGTATTTGTTGCCACAAGCAAAACTTAGAGGTGCCATGCCACCAGGGGCACAGTTGAAAAAAGGAAATCGGCGGCCTCTGACGAGTGGTGTGGGTTTCATGTTGACACCCGCAGGCCGATGTGTGGTGTACTGGTGCTTTAAAGCATGCAAGTGGCATACAGGAGGTCTTGGTTCAATCCCCATTGGCCTCATGCACCTTCCTGGGGCAAGCTTGGTGCCCGCTGTCGAGCGCATCTGTTCGGCACCGCACAGGGCAGAGCGAGACCCTCCCGGCCGCGTCACGCAGTAGTTGGTCTAAATCCTCGTCGCGAATACACATGGAGCTTCCGTAAGCCGCTCCGGCCGAGTGCGCCAGCCATACCTCTCGCGAGCCCCTACGACAGGACAGGGCCTGCGCGAGGCACGACTTACCTCCACCTTACGGGAGCTGTCACGTCCCTTCGGTGAGCGTATCCCCGCCGAGCTACCAGTCCACAGTACGAAAGTTAATTAGGTGCAATCGCAGAGGTGGACCAGCCGAGGGCGTTTCTCGTTCGTTGTAGCATAGGGGGCACGCGCGGTATTACGCCTCTATCGGACCCGCACGCGAACCAACATCTTGGGGGGCTGAGGTCCCAAGCGCGGCTCGTCGTCGGTCGACTAGGACGCATCCCACACACCACGCGCACACCACTCTAAGAACATGGGAACAAAAACACCCCCCCCCACACACACGTACATATACATACACAGAACGACATTGAACAAACGACGCGACAACACTCCTAGTCCCTTAGTAGCCATCCCATAACTTTTCGATGCGGAGATCGGATAGGCGTCGAGCGCGAGACTTAGTATAAAACCGCGCGGACGCAGGGCGAACTCATATCGACTCGCAATGCATAAGTACGCAAGCGATCGCGATGATGGCGTACTATGTAGTACCCATACTCATGCGGTCCTCGTTAATCTCGAGGGCCGCATTCGACACTCAAGTGTCGGCTGACATGCGCCTTGAGGGTTAATCTCTCGACGCTGGACAACCGCTTAGTGCGGTTAAAAACCACACCCTCTTCTGCACCCTGCGGAGAGTGCGTGGTACACAGGTTCATACCTGTGGTGACAATCGTCTCTTATTGCCCTGGAGACCGACTCTATTATCCAGGGCCTGGAGCGAAGTCAAGAGCTTTGACTTTGACGGTTGCCACGGACTACAACGTCCAACTATCAAAATCAATAAGCAAAATCAATCAGTAAATAAATAGACATCCAACACTCATATATCAAATCAGAACTCGAGATATAATAAAAGAAGGGAAAACATAAACCCATCAGGTATGCAGACCGTGCGACACATGGTTGTCATTCTCACTGCCTCCAAAGTATGACCCATATACCAAACTCCAAAAGTACTAACCTGCATAAAACACAGGCACACACAATTGTCACATCGCCATACACCAATGTGGTCAACTTTACTGTTCCCTATAACTCACTCCACGCCTCACACATCCATGCCCCAGTCGTAGTCCAACTTTCCATAAATCTCATAAGTCCATTATAATGGCTATTTAAAAGAAGTCCGGTTCAAACCCGCAAAGAAACATATCAAGTCACAGGGCTAAGGCAATCAAGCTGATGTAAAGGTGTAAGCAAAGTTGCGTCGTGAGCCGACAATCGACGATCAATCAACCAACATGTTATCAGTGATAACAGAAAATGATCCTTGTAGGCTGCAACTAGTCCAAATCCTGGATCGAGTGCCCAAAGAAGACCTGTATCATACGACAGGTCAATGTCAAAGTTAAATTGTCAATGTATGGAGATCAAATCCCCATGACACGTTTTCACTCAAGACTCTCCTAATAATCAAGCCTAGGTCTATCTCTAAGCCAGTGTCCAAAGAACGGTCGACCCATGGCAGAATCTCCCCCATACAGAGTGGATTGCCAGAGTTGCCACCTATCAAACTATAATCTATCTCCTCTAAACTAAAAAAATTTCGGCAGCGCTTCCCGTAGGAAAAGTGTCTTTCCATAATTTATATCAGCCTAAATATGAAAACAAAAATAATCTTCAACCCTTTCAAAGTCAAATTTTGTCTAACTCCCTGAATTAGCAAAAATTTTGGCATCACTCCCTTTAGAAAAGGAGACTTCCCAGATTTTTACTAATCCAGATATATAAAATTCAGACAAGTCGAACTTTTGAAAAGTTTAAGTTTTGACTAACTCCTTGGATTTGTAGAAATTTCGGCAGCGCTTCCTATAGAGAAAGTAACTTACCAAAATTTATACAAGGTCAAGTTCATAATCTAAAATGATTTTGACTTCTCAAGGTCCAATTTTGTCTAACTCCCTGAATTAGCAAAAATTTGGGCAGCACTCCCTTTAGAAAAGAAGACTTTCCAGATTCTTACTAAGTAATATATGAAAGCTAGACGGATTGAACTCTGAAAATACAAAATCTGACCAACTCCTTGGTTTTGTAGAAATTTCGGCAGCGCTTCCTGTAGAGAAAGTGGCTTACCAAGATTTATACAAGACCACGTATAATAAAAGATTCCAGAAAATGCAGAAATCGATCTAAGTAAAAATAAACTTAACTCATAAAATGTAGGAATTGAAACTAAACTCCTATGACTCTAGCACGTGGCGAGCATCCAAAGCAACTACCTATCAAACTGAAACTCAGACTAAGTAGTGGCCTCACTCAGTCACATGCAAGCCAAACCACAAAGGTAAGTACTCTCACCATCCCAAGTCAACCCGGACAAACAATAGTTCGTAGTCTTTCAATAATTTATCCCTTTATACCCAGCTTACATAAGGCATAAAGTCAGGACACCCAAACTTATGGAATGAACCTCACCTTAGCCAGGCCTAAAGTCGGGTCACCCAAACTTATGGAATGAACCCAACTTAGCCAAAGTATACATAAACACAGGGTACAACAATTTTTCTCTTCTTTGGGCATATGAC